AATATTATATTACCAACAAAACTAAGAAATTAATTGAGAATTCTAAGCCACTTAATAAAATTAAATACATCATGATGCGTAGACGTAGGGTTAAACATAAAATGCATTTAATTGATTTATTAAAAAAGCAATTAAAATCAAAGTTACAAACTAGTATAACTCACCCATAAGGAGATATTCAAAAGAAAATGGCTGGTAAAACTTAGTAATCTTTCATTGTTAATGTTATTGGTTTTACTAATTGGGAGAATAGAACATTGTCTATTCAAACGAGTGTGTTGAATAAGCTAACTGAAGTTAATCTAAAACTTTCTATATAGACGTTGTGGTTTTAATTAATTATTACAAACTATTAAGATGTGGAAACAAATAATCAGGTAAGTAGACTAGACATTATACTCTTAAACAGCCAATTCACATTTTCAATTAGAGTTATGGAGATGAGTGTTTTTTCACATTTGAAATCATCAATCAATCATTGTTAGACCACCATTAGAAACTTGGAAGCACTGAACGGTCGTTTCGTCCTGTTATGGGACTCGTCAGTGGCAGTGCGCACCCGCGACTCCTGCACTTTGCAGGATTCGAACCCAAGGCCTTCGATATTGTGCGCGAACGCCTAACCTCTGGACACCACTGGGCCGACATCCAACGGTGTTAATGTCTAACTCTGATTGATCTAGGGATTTTACGCGACCTCACTCATTTGGCTTTAGTAGTTACTGCCTACACCTGACAGGGTTAAACTCCACATTTCGAAAATGAAAAAAGTAAAAGAAAAACAACCGAAAATTATTAATTTTTAGCATAAAAAAAGGATTTTAAAAATACTAATATTCTGTCCAAATCAACTTTTATGACAACACTGTTTGCATAATCTATAATGATGAGAAGAATTTTCACACACACTTGTTTACTCCATGTTGAATTATTCAACACTAAACACTACGATTGTGTAATATTGTTTTTATCATAGGTCAATCTACAGAAAAATCAATTTGAACTATTATTAATTATAACGCTAATAACGAACGGTAGAAATCTAGTTTTCAGTAATATATTGTTATTTGCTACGAATGTATTCAAAAACATGATTCATAGACTTCTTACATTCGTATGAACTTGTTGTCAGTAAAGATAATATGTTTCTTAAGGTGTATGCATTCTTAATGAACCTTAAGATAATCGTGAGTCTCAGTATTATGTCATACTTCTGATTATGCAGTTACACTCAGTCTTTTCGAGTTATATAGTTGTTATAGGATTGAGTGATGTTGGCAGATGTAGGCTACCTGGTTAGGGTCCGCGAGACGAAAGTTACCAACGGTCAGAGACCTTGAACGACACGGCTCAGAATCGTTTGCAATGGCGCAGATGCATTTAATCTTTGTGTTCTCTCAAATTCTAATCTTCTGAATTCCTTATAACCGCTATCTTTCTCCTTCTAAATTCATCTTACTGACTTACACTTCTCGAATCATATCTTCGAACCCTCATCTTCTCCATTACTGCTAATACTTCTACTATCACTATCACTCCTGGATTTGAACTGACACTTGCGTCTCTGTGCTAATGTGGTATGGCAATCCGAACTGATGTAGTTACATACGAAGTTCTGCGCTGTATCCGTCTATCTGTCTAATTCGTTTTTAAAAACAACAATATTTTAACTTGAATTTCTTTGTATGTTGTGTTATTTATTGATTTCTACTACTTTGTTTGGTTAATGTAACGCCTGACAACTAAGACCAATCCACATTTGTAAGAGAACATAATTCGGCATGAATACCATGACTATAGAACAACCTAAAAAAATCTTGTTCAAAGGAATAACTAGAATTATTCTCACCTCAATTTCAAACTAATAAAATAATGATGTACCAAGTGAAGAGTATAAATTTAAAGCCAGTTTTTTTCCTTTCATTTTGATCAAGATTCAGTTTAAGATTGATGCGTTGTTACACAAAAGTAACCAATGATTATAAGGCAAGCTTAACATACATCGTTTAAATTAATTGAAAGCACTAGAGTATTAATGTATTTTAATAATCAAGTAAACTATTGTTCACAAGATTTTGGTCTGCGTTTATTGTACGAGGATTGATTGTATGCACCACCAACCGTGTAGATGATATACAACTGTAGACCATGAAGGTACAGATTATAATAGAAGATTACTAACTCTCACCAATAGGAATACCGATAACTAACGCTGTCGTACGATGCAATAAATGTACAAGCAACCTTCCGTTCCGCAATATCAATCGAAGTTAAACAATCAAATTACTTTATAATGAACACAAAAATGACAAGAATTGAAGACAGACAGACAGACACAACGCAGAACTTCGTACGTAAGTCATGGTGTTCATGCCGAATTATGTTCTCTTACAAATGTGGATTGGTCTTAGTTGTCAGGCGTTACATTAACCAAACAAAGTAGTAGAAATCAATAAATAACACAACATACAAAGAAATTCAAGTTAAAATATTGTTGTTTTTAAAAACGAATTAGACAGATAGACGGATACAGCGCAGAACTTCGTATGTAACTACATCAGTTCGGATTGCCATACCACATTAGCACAGAGACGCAAGTGTCAGTTCAAATCCAGGAGTGATAGTGATAGTAGAAGTATTAGCAGTAATGGAGAAGATGAGGGTTCGAAGATATGATTCGAGAAGTGTAAGTCAGTAAGATGAATTTAGAAGGAGAAAGATAGCGGTTATAAGGAATTCAGAAGATTAGAATTTGAGAGAACACAAAGATTAAATGCATCTGCGCCATTGCAAACGATTCTGAGCCGTGTCGTTCAAGGTCTCTGACCGTTGGTAACTTTCGTCTCGCGGACCCTAACCAGGTAGCCTACATCTACCAACATCGCTCAATCCTATAACAACTATATAACTCGAAAAGACTGAGTGTAACTGCATAATGAGAAGTATGACATAATACTGAGACTCACGATTATCTTAAGGTTCATTAAGAATGCATACGCCTTAAGAAACATATTATCTTTACTGACATTAAGTTCATATGAATGTAAGAAGTCTATGAATCATGTTTTTGAATACATTCGCAGCAAATAACAATATATTACTGAAAACTAGATTTCTACTGTTCGTTATTATCATTATAATTAATAATAGTTCAAATTGATTTTTCTGTAGATTGACGTATGATAAAAACGATATTACACAATCGTAGTGTTTAGTGTTGAATAATTCACCGTGGAGTAAACAAGTGTGTTTTTAAATTGTTCTCATCATTATAGATTATGCAAACAGTGTTGTCATAAAAGTTGATTTGAACAGAATATTAGTATTTTTAAAATCTATTATTTATGCTGAAAATTAATAATTTTCGGTTTTGTTTCTTTTTCTTTTTTCATTTTCAAAATGTGGAGTTTAACGCTGTCGGGTGTAGGCAGTAACTACCGAAGCCAAATAGGTGAGGTCGCGTAAAATCCCTAGATAATCAGAGTTAGACATTAACACCGTTGGATACCGGTTCAGTGGTGTCCAGAGGTTAGGCGTTCGCGCACGATACCGAAGGTCCCGGGTTCGAATCCTGCAAAGTGCAGGAGTCGCGGGTGCGCACTGCCACTGACGAATCCCATAACAGGACGAAACGACCGTTCAGTGCTTCCAAGTTTCTAATGGCGGTCTAACAATGATTGATTGACTGATGATTTCAAATGTGTAGAAACACTAATCTCCATAACTCTAATTGAAAATGTGAATTGATTGTTTAAGAGTATAATGTCTAGTCTACTTACCTGATAATTTGTTTCCACATCTTAATAGTTTGTAATAATTAATTAAAACCACAACGTCTATATAAAAAGTTTTAGATTAACTTCAGTTAGCTTATTCAACACACTCGTTATGAATAGACAATGTTCCATTCTCCCAATTAGTAAAACCAATAACATTAACAATGAAAGGTTACTAGGTTTTACTAGCCATTTTCTTTTGAATATATCTCCTTATGGGTGAGTTATACTAATTTGTAACTTTGATTTTAATTGTTTTTTTAGTAAATCAATGAAATGCATTTTATGTTTAACCCTACGTCTACGCATCATGATGTATTTAATTTTATTAAGTGGCTTAGAATTCTCAATTAATTTCTTGGTTTTGTTGGTAATATAATATTACTGTCACTATTATTATTATTATTATTATTATTATTATTATTATTATTATTATTACTTATCATCATTCATAGAATCAGCGTGTTAATCAAGATGGTCAACTGTCTACACTACGTGCTCAATTATTGGATAAAGATAAAACTACAACAGAGCGTGAACGTAATCTACGCGAACGATTACGTGAATTGGAAGATAATTTGAATACAGTGAAAAATTCACAATTGAAATCACCAATTCAAGTAAACGGCGTAATTGATAACTCTGCTAAATCAGTGAACACAATCGATGCTGATGTTGTTGCTGTTACTGCTCCTCCCGCTCCCGCTCCTGCTCCTCCTCCCCCTCCTCCTCCACCGCCGCCGCCGCCTCCACCACCACCACCACCATCTGCAGGCGGCGTACCACCTCCACCCCCACCGGGAATGGGTGCTGCAGTGGTTCCTGGTGCAGAAGGTAAGTCCTGTTATGGTTATAATATTCTTAATTTGTACAAATGATGTTTCGTTGCTCATCTTACTTATTTCGCTTACTATTATTCTCATTAAATTATTTGTATAGTTAGCGTAAGAGGATTGTGAATATTGTTGAATGTTTATAGTTTAGATCACGGACTGATCTAACAAGGTTATTTGCAAACTTGAAGGCACTGTACGGCTATTTCGTCCTACTGTCGGTGGGAATAATAACGGGAATGTTCTATCACGCATCCGAATGCTTAACCTCTAGACCACTGACCCATCATTTGACTGTGGTAATGTCGAACTCCAACTAAATTCATCCATTAACTGCGGTGGATAACTTTTTCGCACCTAACAAGATTTGAGCTCTGTTGGTCACGGCTCATCACCAGCACGTCAGAAGTTACATCTTGAAGCTAATCACTAGTGGGCACAGTGTTTGAGAGGTTAAAGCATTCGATCATGGGACAGAACATTGTTAGTTTGACTCCCATATACAAAGCCATAGATACGCATCGCTGAGGAGTCTCATACTATGACGAAACGGTCTTCTAGTGATTCCATGTTTCCAATAGTGTTCTTGCTAAGATCAATCCATAATTCTTATCATTTGTATAGATCAAAAATAATGAATGTCTCAAAACTATACAAATCCACTGTCGACTGTTCACTTCAGCTGTTTAAAAGGTAAATACAACTATTAATTTTCCATCGAACAAAACTGTGTACATACTTTTGATCAATATTATCAAAAAATGTTCTCATAAATAATAATACATGTGGAATAATTATAAAATATGTTCTTATGATTGAATATTCAAAAAATTGAATAGTGTGAATATCCTTGAAAAAAATAACCCAAGCATACATATTGCTGAAAAGGTTTATGTTAGAAATGGCGTAATATTCAACAAACAAAAGAATTGGTTATAAACGAATAAATTTTTTCTTAATTGTCATCATAAAGTCAGATATTACAGAACTAATCATCAGAAACCCAAGGTTACCACAGCCAGTACAAGACTGTGACGGCAGCATCCTTTTGATTATGTAATTTCCAATGTGTAAGCTTTGATAACCATAGCTTTGACAAAATACATCTGAAATAGTTTTGAATGATTTCAAAGAACTAACAAGTTAATGACAAGCAACTGGACTATTTGTTTGTTGGTTTGTGATAGGGAGTGAAGTAGTCGAGCGTGTTGATCACTTCACTTATCTGGGGAGTCTCATCAGTGCTGATGGCCTGGTGACTGACGAAATCTCAGCACGGATACGGAATGCTCGATTGGCTTTTGCCAACCTGCGTCACTTATGGCATAGGCGAGATATCCGTTTGCTGACTAAAGGACGAGTGTACTGTGCAGTAGTTCGCTCCATCTTACTTTATGGCTGTGAAACATGGCCAGTGAGAGTAGAAGATATTCGTCAGTTATTGGTTTTCGATCATAGCTGTCTTCGAAGCATTGCTCGTATATCGTGGGACACCCGAGTGAGCAACGCTGTTATTAGGAATCGGGTGCTAGGTAAGAATGGCAGATCAATAGATGAAGTAATGAAACTTCATCAGTTGAGATGGTTGGGACATGTGTTGCATATGCCTAACCACCGACTGCCTCGACGAGCTTTGTTTTGTAGTGTTGGAGTAGGTTGGAAGAAAACTAGGGGCGGCCAAACCAAAACATGGCAGAAATCCTTGAAGTCATTGACAAGTGCGCTGAGCCATATCGGTAGTTGTCGCCTACCTGGTTGGGGTCCGCGAGATGTTAGTAATCAATGGTTAGAGAGCCTGAATGACATGGCTGAAAACCGTTTGCAATGGCGGCGGTGTATTTATTCTTTGTGTTCTCTCAAATCCTAATCTTCTGGATTCTTCAACCTCTCTAGTTTTGACTTTCTAAACTTTTCTCACTGAATCATATTTCTTAAATATCATCTCATCCTAACCTCTCCGATTACTCCTAATACCTTTACTTCTAATTACCTTACTACCTCTTCTACTATTGGATTTGAATTGACAATTATATCTCTGTGCTGATGTGGTATGGCAACATGAACTGATGTACTTACGTACGAAGTTCTACGTTGCATCTGACTGACTGACTGACTTATTTATTGGTTAAAATGAATAGTGAGGCATAAAATGTAGGAATGAAGTTTTCAATTGAGTAATAAATGTTTTTCATTGTATAGTGACTATTGAGTTAGATCCTGTTTGAAGTATTTGTTTTATGATACATTAACGCCGTTAGATGCCGGCTCAGTGCGCTAACGGCTAGGGCGTTCGCGCACAATACCGAAGGTCCTGGGTTCGAATCCTGCGGGGTGCAGGAGTCGTGGATGCGCACTGCTACTGATGATTCCCATACCAGGACGAAACGGCCGTCCAGTGCTTCCAGGTTTCTAATGGTGGTCTAACATTGATCGATTCATGGTTTAAGTCTTGCATAATCAATCAATTAATTCCTCTTCATCAATTGCTTTATTAATATCTATGTATATATAGGTGTTGCTATACGACCGCCTATACAAACTCGTTACAAATTACCATTAGTTAATTGGGTTTTATTAAAAAATCAACAACTTCGTGGTACAATATTTGTTGGCATGAATGATGAAGCTGTGTTGGATGCATTGGATACGGAAAAATTTGAAAATCTATTCAAATTATCTAATCAATCAGTGAATAATAATAATAAATCAAGTGCAAATAATCTAGTCAATGGATTAGATCAGAAAGATGGTCGTCCCAGTAAAAAAGTAGAGAAAAAATCTTTAATGGATTCAAATAGACATCGGTATGATATTTTTTTTGTGTGTGTTTAACTTGTGTTCAATGTTCATTTGATTAGCCTTATTACTGTCATTAGTATATGGTCATGTATGTAGCAGTTAGCTACTAATGACAACAGAAGATGGTTCTATTAAACATGGAAATCATTGGTGATAACTGGCTCGATAGTCGTCTATAGGTTAGGTGCTTCTTACAAGACCTAGTGGTCTTAGGTTCGAAATTCCCGGTCAGATCATGGATGTGAACCTCTAAGAAGTCTGGTGTTAGGATGAAACAGTTTTTCAGTGCTTACTGGTTTTCTATGGTTGTCTAAGTGTCGTTGTTTAATGTAAACTATGCAATGATTATTTCAATAATTATATTTTCTAATATTTAACACATCTGAGAGATTTCTTAAAAAATCATACGACTCGTCCTTAGTGTTAGTGGAGATCCATCCTATCCTTTACTATATTATATACAATTATTCAGTAAACACTGATTTATTTGAGTGTTTTTAATAATTCTTCAATGTTTTCGAGAGAGATGATAATGACACTTTCAGTTGTGATAGTTTTTTACTGCATATTTTTAGAAGCCATTAATTAATTTGATTTATCAACTTTCTGTTCAGATTTTTTTGTGATGACAAATCTTTGCATATAGGGGAAATAGTATCTTAGGTTAGATTAAGAATATTGTGTACATTTGGTCCATCGATTAGTAACATTTTGAACCTTCAATCAATGAGGTGTTATTAAGTTAAAAAATTACGTTATCGCTGATCTCCATCGTTTGCATTAGCGGTGCGGAGTGATAAATGAATATGAGAAATGTTAGTTGTGCAGACGTTACGTATGCTCAACCACTGACTGCCTTGATGAGCGATATTTTATGGTGTAGGAGTAGGTTGGAAGAAAGCTAGAGGCGGCCAAACCAAAACATGACACAAATCCATGAAGTCATTGACAACAAGATTGAGTTATGTTGGTAGATGTAGGCTACCTGGTTGGGGTCCGCAAAATGATAGTAACCGATGATTAGAGACGTTGAACGACATGACTCAAAATCGTTTGCAGTTGTGCAGGTGCATCCATTCTTTGTGTTCTCTCAAATTCTAACCTTCTTAATTCCTCATCATCTCCATCTTTCTCTTTCTAAATTTATTTCACTGAATCATACTTTTTGAATAATATCTTCGAACCCTAATCTTCTCCATTACTACTAATACTTCTACTATCTCTACCACTATGGGATTTGACCTGACAATGCGATCTCTCTGTGCTAATGTGGTATGGCAACCTGAACTTATGTACGTACGTACGAAGTTCTACGTTGTAACTGATTGACTGACTGATCATCATCTCCCTCCGAAATATGTAATGCTTTCATTTAAGAGTTTGACACTTAGTGATAAAAATTTTATAGGCTAATAGAATGTTTAGTCCATTTACGACTTGTACTTTAATTAAAATAGATCCTCATTACGTTTATTGGTTTATTTATATTCTCTTTGTACATGTGTCTTTCACTAGCATCGGGATTCTAATTAGGGAATCGTTTTTTTTTAAAAAATGTAGATTGATTTTTCTAATACTTTTTTTGTATCATGAAAAAAAAAATTACCTACAATCAGGAATAATCTCTACACTGCTTATATATTTATCATTGTTCATTGCATACTAATTATCGTTATGCAGTATAGTTGAAGTAAAGTATGATTGGTTTACACTAGTTACTTACATACAGCATTCAACATTTCTGTCATTCAATTAACACAAATCCTGGTTGTACCACCCATTTCGATTATTAACACATTCGAATAGTAATAATCAACAATCTCATATAAACAGAGAAAGCGAAAGAGAGAGAAAAGAAAATTGCACATTTTCCTTACTTAGAAATTTTCATTTAAAATTTAAAACTCAATCTGTATTCAATGCAGAGATGTTATTGCGTGATGGTTTAATTATAACTGATTATCATGTGTTCTCTTATATTAAAGAAATAACGTTTTTGTTAAACAGTGACGACGTGCATGTGTGTGTGTGTATGTCTTTCATGACATAATAGTAATCATAATCATAATAATATTAATAAACACTGTTCGCGTATTGTTTAATTTAATTTAATTTAAATATTTTTATTAACAGCATCAACTGATCTGAAAACATTCTTTTCATATTATTTTATGCTTTCATGTATTGTGTATGTGAATATACATATAAAGCAGGTCATCAAGTATTTTTTTATTGACTTATATGTTGTAGGTTTCGTAATCATATCTAAATCTACAGTCAAGAATGTTGACTGTATTTCGATTTTAGTCTATATAAGTACTAAAAGGATTTCTGACACAGTTAGTTAAGTGAATCTCCCCTCGTTTTTATAAACCGCTAGGTTTTTACTCCTGATTTTTCCTAGGGGGGGGGGCACTACAAATCGCTTTCACATGATGAATGATTTGGTGAAATGCACGAGTGAAAAACACGCCTAATACATTCCAACTACCTTGAATCTATAGAGATTCACTTCAGTAGTCAAATGCTTTGCTTAACCTTGGTGTTGCTTGTTTCACATTACTACCATAAACGAGCAACATTATATAGACGCTTTGTTTTACCTCCATCGCTCATGTTTCACTTCCGTTGACTAAGACTTGTTGAATAGTGGAGAAGTTTGCTATCTCTTTGTTAAATCACTGCATATGTCGTCTTCACTGATGATGACTTATGTCGGCAAAAACCAACTGAACCTATTGTATCCTTAAGATACTTGCGTTTTCAGTTGTGACTACACATGCTCCCAAAGCTTATATATATAATTGAAAAATTACACAATTCACTTTGTGTTATAATTCTCTCTTCATCACAACCCAGCTATTCCTAATGCTTTGTATCCCCGGACACCGGCTAACTCGAGGCGTTGTCTCAAATCGGAACACGGTTGAACAGGAAAAGAGATTATATCCCAATAACAAAGTTAGATGGAAGACGGAAGATACAAAGGAAAAAGACGTTAGTATATTTATAGTTTTCTTACATGAGAAGATTCTAGAATGCTCCCTCAGTATCGGCCAGCGCTGATTGGATGCGGAAGATCTGAGGGCGAATTGGTACTGCTGATTGTAGAGGGGTGTGACAGCAGTAAGGGACAACCAGCATCACCAGTCATACTGCCTTCTCACAAGGAAGGAAGACGTTAGAAAAGGTCGACCCTAAAAATGTCACACCTTACCCTACCTCACGGATTTCCGTCTCCATCAGTAAGGGTGCCCACTAAGGGCTTTCAAGAGCGGAGCTAATACTCAAAAAACCTCTTGTAAAAAGGCCGTGCATAACCGTCCTCAAGCAGTTGTCCCTTGGACTCTGCGGTCACGCTCGCAAGTCGTTCAGACCAACGCTAATCTACCTTCCTTTTCAGGTTCCTCAAGAAACACCCACTATGTGGGCAGCAGGAAAGCGACAACCGCCCTCATACGCGTAACAACACACGAGAAATTGTTGCAATCCAGAGACAGTCGCAATGGAACTCAACATCATTCCTTGAAGACTTTTTTTGAAATATTAACTATGTAGGATATGTTTAGACTACTTAGTTAGGGATCAGTGTGATTGTCATATCCAACAGTTGTAGATCTTAGTTGATAGAATTCAGAATCAGCAGCTACAGATACTTTTTCTTTCCTTTATATCTTGAGTTCAAAAATTATCCTATAAAATTACTTACTTCTCAAATCTTATTATCTGTAATTGAAAACAATTAGTCCCTTTTATAAATTCTAGTCTTTTCATAAATTATCTGTGCCTAATAATATCCATTTATCCTTCATCCCACTTTTCTTATAACTGACTAGTTGACTATAAACTGACTAATTATTGTCAATTTATTCTATAGTATACACATAACTTGTAAACACAAAAACTACACAAATTTAGCCTTTTAATTGAAAGTTTTTAAATTTTTCAAAATGTATTTTTAATTTTTTTTTATGCACAAACATTAGTAAACATTAAATAATTTGTATATATATTCATTGTTATAAGGACATTTATTCTAGCATAGTAAACAGTACTGTATCGATTTTTTATGATTACTATTATTATTATTATTATTATTTTATCTGTGTACTTCTATGTTGTGTATTTATTGTGATTTTTTTTTATGTGTCCCATTCATAAATTGTTAAATACCCGAAACAGAATATATATTGATATTGATAGTTTCATATTTTCATAAAAAATACTCGTCATTTATGAATTGTACTTTTTTTTTATATATCATTTGACCGTAATCACTCACTCACTATTTTTACTATGATCTTAATGAAAATTTTTTATCAATTAAAGTTACAAAATGGATTGAATACAGTCGAACTATTTTTTTTTCGGAACTATTTTTTTTATTTTTAATTTTTAAAACTGATTGTGTTTGACTAGTGTATTGTATAGTTATATGTAAACGTGTTCCGTTATTGTTACATTTCATGCTAGATAGCAGCTACTATATATGATACTTTGATCGGTTTTCATTAGTCTAAAGCTAGATCTCTGCACCTCATTAGATTTATATGTGAATCTGTTATTTTATTGAAGTTTTAACTTCGAATTAGTGGTAGTGGTTGAAGATTTTCACTATTGCCTAAGTTTAACAACACTTATCTGATGATTTCATTGTTTGATGTGTGACGATCTGAGTGGTGGATTTTTCGTGTTAATTATTTTTGTACAAATCTGCATTGTTAGATGAACAGCTAATACTGAATGTTGTTGAAGATTACTGGTCAGTCAGTCAGTTGCAACGTAGAACTTCGTACATGAGCACATAAGTTCAGGTAGCTATACCGCATCAGCATAGAGACGCAGCTGTCAGTTCAAATCCTATAGTGGTAAAGATAGTATAAGTATTATCAGTAATGGAGAAGATTACAGTTCGAAAATATGATTCCAGAAGTATTATTCAGTGAGATAGCTTTAGAAGGATATAGATGATGATGAGGAATTCAGAGGGTTAGAATCTGAGAGAACACAGAGAATGGATGCTCCTGCGACATTGCAAACGGTTTTGAGCCTTATCATTTAAGGTCTCTAACCATCGGTTACTATCATCTCGCGGACCCCAACCAGGTAGTATACATCTACCAACATGTCTCAGTCCACTTGTGAGCGACTTTACGGATTTGTGCCATGTTTGGGTTTGGCCGCCCCTAGCTTTCTTCTAATCTACTCCTACACCACAAAACATAGCGTGACGAGCCAGTCGGTGGTTAGGCATACGTAACACATGTTCTAACCACCTCAACTGACGAAGTTTCAATACTTCATCTATTGATCTTCCATTCTTACCTAGCACCCGTTTCCTAATAACAGCATTGCTTACTCGGGTGTCCCAGGATGTACGAGCGATGCATCGAAGTCACCTATGATCGAAAACCAGTAACCTACGAATGTCCTCTATTCTTACCGGCCATGTTTTGTATCCATATAGTAGGATGGAGCGAACTGCTGCTCAGTAGACTCGTTCTTCGGTTAGCAGACGGATATCTCGCCTGCGCCATAGGTGACGCCAGTTAGCAAAAGTCAATCAAGCTTTCTGTATCCGTTACCTAAAATTAAACTAATTCCTTCTATAAGCATTTAGTTGATTAGTATTCAATCATCCTTTTTTCGGTTCATTTTTCGATAAATACCTCTTAACTCAAGCGGGAAAACGAATAAGCGAAATTGATAGTGATATAGAATGACTCACTAAAGAAATTGACTAGGGGTTCTTATTTCATGAATGTGTTGAGGTGACCGACTGCCATTATGTTTCTACGGAACATGCGTAGAATGTTTCATATGAAAAGTTATTTTCTGTTAAACTAAACGGTTCCATTAATTGTTCAAAAAAATTATTCCATATTTAGGATTATTCTTTTACCATAAATATATTGTTTGATAATGTCTTGTGTGTTAATAAATGTTTATTTGGAACCGATTGAAAATCAGACACATTGAATCGGATTCACGAATTTGTTGCCAATGACAACCACTGCTATCCTACTCTCATCACGATTATAAACTCATATATATTCTGTGGTAGATACAGCGTACAGCCAATAAATGTACACAAGTATACATTGCACTCTCTTGTAAAGTTTGTGCAAAATATTTCTTTTAAATGTAATTTACCCTGAAACGTCGTCCATAAGTAATTTTGTGTTATATTTTCATTGATCATTGAATTATGAAGTAATTAATATCAATTTTGTCATTTTGTACTAAAATGTTATGCAATTAAAATTAGTCTTTTAAAAGTTCAACTATCAAATCGTTCTCGTAACTAAGGTAATTATTTTTGTTTTGAAAAGTAAGCTATGAAGATAGTGTTTATTACTTGTGAAGTAAAATGAAATATAAATTTCTCTTTATCAACAATGAATAGCTTTTTTGTTATGACAGTGCATCGCACTTGTTCGTGCGCAAGACCGAAGGTCCTGGGTTCGAATCCTGCTAGCTGCAGGAGTCGTGGATGCTCACTGCCACTGATGATTCCCACACCAGGACAAAACGGTCGTCCAGTACTTCCAGGTTTCTAATGGTGGTCTAACATTAATTGATTCATGATTTCAAATGTGAAAACTTAACAATCTTCACAACCCCGTTATGTAAAATCGATAGACAACTATGATAGTTTATTAAATGTCTACAAAAATGACAATTGAGAAAATTTTCTATTTATATAATGTATGAGAAATAAATGCAGTTTGTGCACTGTTTACAATACATATAAGTTATCATTAAAAGTTAAGACGTATTCAATACATTGTATGATTTACTCAATAGTCTTGATGAAAACAATAGATGTATTTAACTAAACTATAATAGTTATGCCAGTCTTTATAGTATTTCAAAATTTTATGATTAATAACAATAACAGTACTTGTTATGTTTGCCATCTGTTGATGTGCTTGAAACTATTACGAGTTCACCTTAGTCGGTGAACGAGAGAGAAGACAAATGATCCAGTGACACAAAATGTTACTCTATTCCGAGCGTCCCAAGGCCCCACCACTAGGTAAAGGAAAATGTCTTGACAACACGTAGAAAGTATATTCTACAAGTACTCAGAAAATATGAGGTTCACAAGCACACAAATCGACTTTATTTATACATGATAGAAACGTCTTTGGGAGAGCTACAAAAATAACATTCTAAAATAATACATCAATCAATAACAGCCAAAGAATTTTCAAGCGGTAAATGTAATCTCACGGTCAACTGTTCAGCCTATGCTCGGAAACATAAAATCCTAAATTAGGACCTTGATCAAGTGAGTTCTAGGGTTCTTACGTCCCTAACTATACTACTGTTTATAAATGTTACACTAATGCATTTTATTTTTCTTTAATTATCGAATTGCATAATGAAACTTGCTTGTGTAATTTGGTGGTCTAACAATGATTGATTGATGATTTCAAAAATGTGTAAAAAAAATTGAAAAATAGCATTGAATAAAATAATTGTTGCGTTCTTTCTTATTTGAAATTCCTTTGTATATGTCAACTTTCCATCATGGTTCTCATTCACTACTACTATACATAGCTAGTCCTTGAAAGTTGTACATTTCATTTTCCACTGTAAACAGATTGAGTAATATGTTTAAGTTATTCGCCTTGTGTAATAATGTTGTCACCTTAATTATTATGTTGAAAAAAAAAGTATCCATAGAATTTTATCTCATTAGTGTAAATAATTAACTTATTGATCTTTAATCAGAAAGTTGAACATATATCTATTGACAAAAAATGTTTTGTTATGTAATATAACAAAATTTGTATTGATGATGATGCAATCTCTCTTGTGAAGATTGTTGTTGCTGTTGTTCTTCTGTCTGGAGAATCATGAAGTATTGTCATATGTACATTGGATTTCATGTGACAACTGTCGAAATGTTCATGTGTACTTTTAACTCTATTCATAATACCATACTCGTATTTACTGTTCACTTGTTGTTTTTTTTAAAAAATTTTTATTTCAGTTGTATCGGTGTGTTATTACGTTATTTAGAATCGGAAAAATATACACCAGAACGTTTATGGAATGATATTAATCGTTTAGAACTAGGTCAAGATGTCACTGATCGTATTTATCATCAATTGCCAACAGCTGATGAAATTAAAACTTATCTTAATTATGAATTCACTGAACAACGTCCTATTGATGATTTAACTGATGAAGATCGTCTTTTGTTACATTTATGCAAAGTTGAACGGTTAGGACCCAGGCTAGAAATTATTTTATTCATGAATTCATTTGAAGATAACTTGTCTGTGGTTCATTCGGTAAGTGTATCATTTGTTTGTTGATTCATTCATTGTGTTCATGTATATTTGATTTAAATGTTTAATGATGTAGTCTTACTTTGTCTGAATCCACTTCGATCACGTGATTGTCAATCTAGATCACATTGAAGTGAGGTGTTTTGACCTTGATAATTCTAATATGTATTAGTTAGCATAGGGTAATGACATAAAGTCTGTCCAAATTATATTCATTCCGATTGAAAGATTTGATTGTGACTAATTTGGTCTCGTGTGCTGTTACAGGTATGAGGGTGGATGTCACTTCCCGGCTGCCCACATCGTGGACGGGTGTTTCTTGAGGAATCTGAAAATGAAGGTAGATTAGTGTTGGTCCTAACGACCTGTAAGCGTGACCGCAGAGCCCAAAGGACAACTGCTTGGGGCCGGTCACGCACGGCCTATTTATGAGAAGTTTTTAAAGTATTAGCTCCGCTCTTGCTTAAAAGCCTTAGCGACGGAGATGGAAATCCTTGAGGTAAGGTGAGGTGTGACAGTTTTAGGGTCGACCTTTTCTAACCACTTTCTTCCTTGTGAGAAGGCAGTATCGCTGCAGATGCTGGTTGTCCGAGGGAAAAACCTTACTGCTTTCACACTCCTCTGCAGTCAGCAGTACGACTTCGCCCTCAGACCTTGAGTAGCTGCTTTTAATCTCATCGTTCTTCAATCGACCTGCCTGGTATGGTAGAACCTACAGGAATATATGTTCCAGCCAGTATAGCTTGGTTGGTTCATCACGATAGGCAATCCCGACCACCACGTCAAGTTAGCATCTACGGTCGGGATTTATTCCGATGAATAGACACCATAATTTCTACACGTCCTCTAATCTACACTAAGGTTGAAATTATGTCTATGCTACTAATCAGATCATGTATTTAAACTCATTACTGCCTCTGTACACTTAAAAATAATCATGTAGTTGATGATCATAATAATTTTAATTGTTTTAGTCGTGATTTTAAAATGACTAAATGTATTAGCATTAATGATTCGTTAAGTCAACTGCTTAAAATACCTTCACATTGGAATTATGATATTCTATTTAGACAACGTATTTTTTTTATTTATTTCAATCACAAATTATTATATTCTGTGAACTTTGTCACATACATCAATATATGTTTTAGTAAATACTTATATGTCTATATATATTTGTATTTATGTATATACATAGATATATTGATTATGATTACAGTGTACTGTTTTTTTTTCTGCTCATAGATTAAAATTGATTTTTAAATAATTCTGTTTATATGTTCGCTATGATATATATATATATATGTATAGTCGATGGTTAATGTTTCTCAAAGAACTAAGGAAAATACAATAAGCCAGTAAAACGTCGTTGCTAATTTAATAATATTATGTGGCAGTTGTTTGGATTGACTTCACTTTAAAAAAATTTGTCAGACGCAACTGTTTCTTACAGATAACTAACTATAGATTACACTCATTTTCAGCAAATGGAAGCCAACTATAGTCTTGGGAGATTTAAAGGGTTCAAGTATATCTGGTGGGATGTTGTCACATTGTGACCACTAAAACTACCCTGATGTGAATGAAATCTGTTTTATTCCTTGGTAAATTGTTTTTCTCTGGTAACTGGTAAACGTAATAGCCTGTTTAGTGTTTGCTGTTTGCAAGTTGTATGACTTATCCACCACTGGTTCCTAGTCAGACCGTGAGATTCTTGGTTGTAAACGTTCCATGCCCATGTATGCAATTCCCTTGTATAGGATCCAATTCTTCCTTTTTCTATCCACATTAAAGCTAGCTGATGATGACTTGAACAAAACTGATCAGATAGATTTATGCAAAAAAGACTATCTCTTCTTATCTAGACTTTGAAAGTAACACTCTACCCTACGATCCCTAATTCCTCATTGTAGAGTGATAAATATCATTAAACAATACAGCGGTTGTTTCCTACCTTCATCTTTGAACCTATTTTAAAAGCATCTTAATTCGGAATCCTTCAAAATTTCCCATGTTTGTTAGTGATGTATCATATCCGCAGGAAGCGTTCAAGTTAAACAACACATCTCTGTGTCCATATTCAAATAATAACTATTCAACTTTGAATAATCCCATTGAACTAAGAATATTTCATATTCTGTTGTGATATTTTGCATATAGTCTTGTTGTTTACTTCAAAACTTCTCTCTCGCATATTGTCTATATTATAGAATTTATAATTTAAAACAAATGTTCGCATTGCCTGACTTCAACTGTTTCGAAAGATTATCGTAAAAAAAAAACATGACTCACTTATATTCTATATGGTTAAAATGTTCACTGTAATCGTCAACGTAACTGTAAACAGATTTTAGTTGTGTGTTAAAAAACAAAAAAATTAAGTCGGTTTTCATAAAAGTACACTAAAAGTAAGTGAACTTTTCATACTCTACTCATATCCATGCCCCTTTCAATATATCTCTATATTTATTTATTTGTTCTATTTTCTATTTTTTTTAAAATATTATTTCATTAGAAAATTACCGCTGTACGATCAGCTTCATTAGCATTAAAGAAAAGTTGTAAATTTAGAGCTATTTTAGAAATTATATTAGCTTTTGGCAATTATATGAATAGTTCCAGACGTGGTATTGCTTATGGATTTCGTTTACAAAGTTTAGATGCTGTAAGTTCTCTTTTTTTCGTGTGTTTTCTTTGTTTACCCATTATGTTGAATAATGTTTTGTTGTGTTTTGTTGATTCGGAAAAAAGTGTTAACACTTGTTGATTTGAGCCATGTTTTCACGGATGCAATTTGGGTGATAACTATGACCGATGACTAGAGACGTTGATTGACATGACTTAGAAACAGTTATAATGGCACAAATGCATTGCTTCTTTTTGCTTTGTCCTTGATTATTAGTTCCAGTAGTTCTTCTTACATATACTTTTTCATTGTCTTTTAGATACACATCCTCAATGAATAACCTTTGTCTTTAGTCAATGCTATTATGTAATATAATTCACCTAGTAATTTCATCTTTGCGTTCAATTATCGTATGAAAATTTAATCCATCTCTGTTACAACGTAGAATTTCGTACGTACGTACATCAGTTCAAGTTGCTATACCACATTAGCACAGAGAGATCGAATTGTCAATCCGAATTTCATAGTAGGAGTGGTAGTAGAACTCTTAACGGTAATGATGAACATTCGGGATCAAATATATGATTTGAGAAGTGTATCCTAGTTAAGTCAATCAAAAATGGAGAAAAAAGGTCGTGAAGAATTTAGAGGATTATAATTTGAGAGAAAACAAATAATGGATGCACTTGCACACTCGAACGATTGCAAGCCCTGTCATTCAGTTTCTAACTATCAGTTACTATTATCTTGCGGACCCCAACCAGGTAGTCTACACCTATTAACATGGCTCAGTCCAGTTGTCAGTCACTTCATGGATTTGTGTCACGTTTTAATGTGGCCGACCCTTACTTTCTTCCAGCCTACCGCCACATCAGAAAACATTGTTCGGCGAGACAGTCGATGGTTGAGCTTACGTAACACATGTCCGAACCCCCTAACTGATGAAAATGCACAAATTCATCAATTGATTTCCCATTCGTACCTAGTACCCGTTTCCTAACACCAATATCGTTTACTCGATTGACTCAAGATATGCGAACAACTCTTCGGAGACACCTATAATAGAATATCGGTAACTTACGAATATCCTCTAATCTTACTGGCCATGTTTCATGTGGATATCGTAGGCAACTGAAGTGTTTCTGAGGGCCAGTTGAATTGATCGCTCAAGTGTTCTACCCATCGATCCAATCTCTCGGGTTGAGAACGAATGATACGGCCACTTTTTTCTGAGATAGTTTCGCCAACAGATAGATTCCTAGTCCCCGTTTCTTTGATAAGGCGGAACAGTTGTCCACTGTTACCTATCATCGCTACCTTTTCCATCGCTCTTGCTTTCGCTACCCACCACTGTTCGTGATCATTGCGTAGTCTTTTAATCAGCCTGCGCCTAAGCTAACTTCGCTCTTCGTCATGTTTAGAGCCAGGTGGAATGAGATTCCGAGCATCTATCAGTTTGGTGGATGCTACTGAGACCCACTGCTCCTTCCTAGCCATATGGTTTACCTTACTAGCAGATATGACTACTATTTCCGCGACTATTTGGATATCGTTTCAAGCTGTCTCGGGGTGGAGATTACTAACATGGCCGCCTAGCTGTTTTTTTAGTGTCTCCGGAAATATATTCTTAGTTGGGCTATCATTAAGTAGAATTCTAAGACGTTTCGTTGCGGTGTCTTTGCTATGTCCGGTAAGTCGCAAACAAACATGTGCTCCAGAACGAGCGACAGTCTTGTATCGAACCCCTCCATCGGTGGCAGATAGCAAAGTGGTCTCATTGGGTCCATCGTTGTGTCGATTTCGATGGTGTCCATGTCAAAAGATGTTTTCCCTTATGCTTAAAGTTAGTATTTGCTAAAAATAGACAGCAATTTTAGCATAACTGCAGTAGACAATCTCCGCTACCTGTTCGATGAACCATGGTACCATAAGATCTGCCCGTGTGTCTTTCAGTTTCGCCTAATCTATCAACCTGAGTATTAAAACCACCGGCCACTATTACTACATCAGAGCGCTTAGTATTTTGAAGTAAGTTGGAAAGCTTTCCATAAAATCCATCTTTTACATCATCTGAGCTGCAGTATGAGTTGTTTTACTTAGCTCTGTTCAATGTTTTTAACTACTGATAGTTATTAGACATGTTTCTAATCCATCCATTAATAATTAGGAACAGTAAGTGTTGTTTATTTAATAGACTGTCGTCCACCATTCATGGAAGACTAAACGAGTACTGCATACACTTTCTTTTAACTTGAGAAACCAGTGAGAGGAAATCAACTCACTATGTAATCTAATCGGGTCAGTATTTGTTCCCACAAGTAATCTAGACTAAATGTTGCTTCATTTTATTTCAGACATTAGTATAGTAATTTTGTGTGAGTCAATATGAATCACATACGTACATACATGATCTAATCTACCAGCTGTAGACTGTCAATTGTTAATTGTTCATAGTTTTGTGTTTTTGTTCTGATGTTGTTTGTTATTCGTTACTCATTGTGATTAAAATTACTTTACATTTATCTGTCTGTTCTGCATATTTCACAAGTATATGAAATTATTTCAAGCTGAAGTATAAATTAAGTTAATTTTTCCTCCCTTCTTTTTCTGATGTAAAACACGTTCGATTGCTGAGATCATCTTGATTCATATTCCAGACATATATCACAAGCGATTTAGTAGAGTTTTACTTGAATTGATCAATATTTTAATTTCAATTAAAAATATCAAGTCATTTTTTTGTTGTTGATACGATACGAAAGTTTATCATCTCTAGACAAATTTATAAATGGACAATTGAAGAGATTAAATAAAAAGTTTACAGACAGAAAAAAAAACCGAATAATAAACTGACTATTAGTTAACTTATTAAAATGACTGTTTTTTGGAATTAATTTTCATTCAAATATAGTTAGTGTTAGGAAAAAGGTTAAACACACTCACTCTATTTTTATATAAACAATGTGCGCGAATATATACGCATAGATTAACTAACTAACTAACTCATACTAAAATCCTATATACGTACCAGTGTGCCTTGATTTTTATCACATTTTAATCATTTTATTAAAATTTCTTTCATTGATTTATAGTATTTTTTTTCATTGGATATTTTAATTAAATGCTCAGTTTTTTTTTTTGAAAACTGCTGGTTGACTGTGATTGGTGGTTATGATCATGTTTATTTTATCAAGTATCACATTTACATTTTATTGCCTTTTTTGTGTACTGTAAACTGTATTTTCTTTTTTGGGTTGCAAATATGTTGCGGGCTTATTTTGAATTCAATGATAATAGCTTGAGGTTAAGTCATTTAGATTAGTGCTTTATACAATGACTTTGTATAACTACTGAAACATGTAAACAAGTTAGATCTGGACTTGACGTTGTCGGGTGTAGGCAATAACTACTGAAGACAATAGATGAGGTTGAGTAAAACCTTGGTTTGATCGAAATTAGACATAAACTCCGTTGGATGCCAGCTCAGTTGTCGAGAGGTTAGGTATTCGCATGCGAAACGGAAGGTCCTGGGTTAGAATCCTTCGAGTTGATAGTCGTGGATGCATATTGTTGAAGAGTCTCACACTAAGACGAAACAGCTACCCAGTGCTTCGCGGTTTCTGATGGTGGCCTAACAAGGATCGATTCATGATTTCAATCAATAATGACAATATCCATAACTTTATACTGAATATATTTATGTATGTGATAACGTGCCACTTTGGGAAACCTAATAATCAAGTACATGTTTTATACTCAGATACACACTTTCAATCTGTGTACATGTGGCAGGTTGTGTTGTTATGCGGCTTATGAATTAGTAGTATATCTATACATATAGTTTATGTATTTATTACTTTTTTCCAGTTATCTGATACACGAACTTTGGATAAATCATGGACTTTACTTCATTTCATAGTTGAAACAATTGAAACTCAATTTCCTGCTCTAATTAATTTTGACGATGAATTAACCGGTGTTGTAGAAGCAGCAAAAGGTTAGTAGTAGTATTTTATTTAGTTATAGTAGTAATATTAAAGAGTTTATATATCTTGATGATAGTGTGGTGCGCGCTACTTATAAGTAGTATATGACGCGTGTGTAAACGTAATGTCTGGCAGCAGAATATGGGGGAAGATCAAGAAAGGACGAGTGGGAACACAATGGAATTTTTATGAAATGCATGAATAAGTGAAATGTCAGACAATGGATTGATGATGTATTGAAGATTTGCAAATTAACGATTTAGGATATGGTTTTCCTATTTTACTGAGTAACTCTGTAATTTGCGATAAATACAATTCGGTTGCCCTCACCTGTGTTCTCCTTCACTACAATAGTAGGTGATGATGTCATTCATATAAAGCAAAATGTATTTCAGCTGCGCTGAGTATACACTACCTTATAACTATCGACATAAGTATTTCCCAGTCTTCAGATTCTTCTTTGTAGTTACCTTTTATTATTTATCTTAGAATCGGTTTTTATTTTCTTTCTACGTGTACTTATTCTGTCATATTCAATCTTACGTTGTTTTTGTCGGAAGTAGTGGACGGTTTCGATGGCTGACCAGCTAGCATATAAACATAAGTCCACAGTTTCCTACCGGGTAACTCCAACCATCCATCATGTCAATATTAAGTCACAGATACAACTGACTAACTGGCAACTTGAACAGTACCAAGAACTATGTAGTCATGACATTGGTCACTACTCGATGATTGGTCGATTGTAAACTGTTTAGGAGGGTTAGTTTACTCGTAAACCATCTATGAAATATTTTTTTAATACTGTTCACTGATACTGTATGATACTTTACATCAGTATCTGTCACATTCACTTGAATAAAACGCATCTGAGGCCTATTTGAGTCAGAAGACTGTTTTGGTTCTTCGTAATTATTTATGTCAATAATGTATGTGGTTCTATCATAAATCGTAATTAGTTAGATTTAAACCTTACATTCAAGAGGACAAGACAACAATAAAAAGTGATCGTAATCCGACCGAACATAAATATGACGTGTTCAAAATTGCAGTTAATGCAAAATACTTTTTAACCAATAACAACATAGCCAGTTTTACTAATAATTAATTTAACCAATAGAATACAAGAAAACAAGACTTTCCGTCCGCCCGTATGATTACTAATAAGTAATATAGTCATAAAATAGAAATTTCACAGCATTTTTTTACTTTGCATTTACTGAACTCTGTGGCTTAGACATAGTCACGCCTTATCTTACCTGTTTGAATTAAACTGAACATTGGTTGGAATGTTAATAATACAACAATGTTATGTTTTTTATATTCTATAGTTTTAGAGTAAGTATACTCTGAAGAAATAGTGAATATGAATGTTAGTTTCTGCTTTTTGTTAAATATCACTGATCTATCATTAATTAATATGGTTAGATTGTGGTGGCCAATTTCAACGTGTTTTTAAGCTTCGTAATTCGCTCGCCTAGGCAATCGTCACCAAACAGCGCCTGACGGTTATAAATCAGAAGGTAAACACGAGGGGTTGAATTCGCTTACTTTTAACCCACCACTAAATGGAACAACAGACCACAAGCACACAGGGCAGGCACACTAGCGACTGAATTGGTGACTGTGGGAATGTATTAATAAGATTAAAATGTTCATATCTATACATATGGAAATGTCGAGTCATCGAGATATTTAAGAGATTTACATTTAAGCGAATAGGATGAATATGCGCGTAGGCGGTAAGCAATGTTCAGTCGTACCAGCTCAAACAAACCAGACTTTAGTAATAACGAATGGTAAATATAAGTTGTTGCTATTCAAATGGCTTGGATGATTATGTTAATCCAAAGGCTTAACCAAAATAAATGTAAGCGAACTCAAATATAAGTGTAGGCAATACAAAATTTCGTCACTAAGTGCATTTGTAGTGCTAGTTTTTCAGTTTTTTGATTTAAATATAAAATTGGTCTAATACAACCTCTTACTGTGCACTAATCTTCATACCCCTTATGTGATATTTAGTGAGTACCTTTCATACTACTGTAATCAAATTGACAGATTTTAAGTATTTTAATTACTATATACTGTAAGTCCATTGATTTATGCAAAGTCTAAAACAACATGTTTTTATTTTTTTTATTTATGTTCTTGTAAAGATCATTTGATAATTTCAATGAGTGTCACTTATTTGGAATGTTTATCAATTGTTTGAATTGCCTATTCACTGTACCATGTGGTTTCTCTGAGTGGGATTGTATGTTATCTCACTTAATATAACGATTCATTTAAAATTTGCATTTTCAATTCATTCATTTATGCAGAATATTTTTCATTATGATTTTCGCTTAACATCTCAAATAATATAATAACTTTAACATATTCAATTTTACTCATTGAAATCATGATTCGATCAGTGTAAGGCCACCATTAGAATTCTGGATGTACTGGACTTGTACTTGTATGGGACTCATCAGTGGCATTGCACATCCACGACTCTTGCATCTCGCAGGATTCGAACCCAGGACCTTCGGTCTTGCGCGCGAACACCTAACTTCTGGACTACTGTGCCGGTATCTAACGGTGTTAATGTCTAACTTCGATCAATCCACGGTCTTGCTTAACCTCCTACAACGCGTTTGGTGAGCACCGCTTCACACCTGAACATGTTGAACTTCACTAGTGATGACTTCTCACTAGGACTCGAGGAAGACTCCTCACAGAGCTAATCACTAGTGAGCACAGGTAATTGCATTATGAGGTTGTGAAGTTTGTTAAGCTACTAATTGAAATCATGCATCGATCAATGTGTTAGACCATCATTTGAAACCTTTTACCTTGTACTAACTAGATTCTATAGTTACTTAATCGCCTGGTTAGTTTTATAATCTAATATAAGCTGGTACACACACCTGTTCAACATATGTTAATAAAAATTCAATAATTCTATCATTCACTACCTATTTCGAATGTTTTTGTAAACAAATGATTTTTATTTTTTGCATTAACTTATTCGCATTAGTTAACATACATTTTATTCATTGTGTTGTTAGAATTTTTCAAATTTAGCATTGATTATTATTTTGATTGCTGACTTATTTAGTTCACATGTACCATATACAAGTATATCAATATATTATATATAAAGTACTTAATGTATTTTTAAAAACAGGTGTACATTAGACTGGTAATAATGGATTATGTGTATATTTTAAGGAAACATAATTTTTCTCATTATCATCAATAGTGAAATTGTATTATAATAGGGAATGATCGATGTTTAATTCAGATCTCAAAAAAAAAATTAATTTTTATTAGTAATCATCTATTTACATGTGTTTTTTGTGTAAGATGTTAGTGTTCTGTTATTAAAATCATTCATTTTTGGGCATTAACACAGAAACGCAACTGTCAATTCAAATCCCATAGTGTTAGAAGAGATAGCAGAAGTATTACCGGTAATGAAGTAGATTAGGGTTCGAATAAACTATTCAAGAAGAATGATCCCGTGAAACAAACTTAAAAACAGAAAGATAAAAGTAGTGAAAAATTTAGAAGATTAGAATTTAAGAGAACACAAAGAGTGGATGCACCTGAGCCAATGCAAACGATTCTGAGCCATTTTGTTTAAGGACTCTAACCATCGGTTTTGTTTTGTCTGCCCGTAGCTTTCTTCCAACCTACCCGTACACCCAACACAAAACATGGCTCGACGAGGTAGTCGGTGGTTAGGCATACACAATACAAGGCCCAACCACCTCAACTGATGAAGTTTCAATACTTCATCTATTGATCTGCCATCTTTACCTATGACCCGTTTCCTAACGGTAGCATTGCTTACTCGGTTGTCTCATGATACACGAGCAATGCTTCGAAGACATCTGTAAACGAACAGTAACAACCTACGAATATCCTCAACTCTTACCGATCATGTCCCGTATTCATATAACAGGGTGGAGCGAACTGCTGCTCAGTAGACTCGTCCTTAGGTTAGCGAACGAACATCTCTCCTACAGCATAGTTGACGCGAGTTGTTAAAAGCCAATGGAGCATTCTGTATCCGTGTTGAGATTTTGTCAGTCACCAGGCTATTAGCACTCCCAAGATAAGTGAAGCGGTCAACATGCTCAACTACTTCACTCCCTATCACTAGTTCAGGTACTGACGCAAACCAATCTTGAAGCAACATTTTGCTTTCCGATGAGGAAAACCGCACCCCGAACATGCTTGGTATATATATATATATACATATATATAAGATATTTGGTTCAGTATAATGTTTTCTTTTTTTATTATTGTGCCTCATGACTTAAAACTATCTATTATAGCATTATTGAAAGCATCACAACATCATTTTATTCTTTGCATTCATCGCTTTCATCTTCTATTTCTCTTTTTTAACTGGTCATCAAAAACCCTTAGAGTACTTCCAGTCAACTATTCATATAATAATTACCTTGTAATTTCCTATTTCAAAGTTTTATTTGATGTACACAAATTGTACATATATAATACTTTCAGTTAATAAATTAAAGTTATTTGGAAGTGAATGAATGGTTACTAACAGCATAAGATACGTCGTTTTTGTTATTTTTAAAATTGACCAATTGAATATAAATTAGTGTTGGGGATGTTAGATCCCCAGAACTCACTTGAAAAAAGGTCCTAATTTTGTAATTTTATTTTGAAATTTTGAATTTCATTGTTTTCGCGCCGCGGACGCTTAGTTGACACTTCCTTCTCGGAAAATCCCTGACTGTCATTGGTTGGTGGATCATTTTAGTACGCTGTATAGTGACTCTCCCAAGGGTGTTTCTGTCATTATATGAATAAGCTTATTTGTATGCATAGAAACCTGAGCGTTGTATTTTCTAGGTGCCTGTAGAATACATTCTCTACGCCTCATCAAGACTTCTTCCTCTAGTTAGTGGGGCCTGGGACGATCGGATTAGAGTAGACTATCGTGTCAATGCATCGTTGATCTTCGTTCCATTTGCCAAGTAAGGTAAACTCGTAATAGCTGTGTTGTAACGCTAGCTTAAATAATTCCAAGCTAAATCCTATTGCTTGGTATTCTCTGACTACAATACACTGGACATGTTCCAAAGAATCAAAAACACGGTTGAACAGGAAAAGATTATATTCCAAATAGCAAGCTTAAATGGAAATACGAAGGCGAAGGCAAAATAGATACAACGTTAGATTCTTTATAGTATTTCCATGAGAAGCTTCTGGATTGTAATTCACATGATCGACTGGATTAGATTTAGCCAATCAGCATGCAGGTAACGACACGAGAATCTTCTACCCTGTTCTCCAAAAATCGATCAGGCGCTGATTGGAATAGGAAATTAGTCAATCAGTGCGCAGCAACGTAGTCATGCTTTAATTCCACCTAAGTCCCACTAACAAGCTGCAAGCATATCAATTATTCTTATTGTTATTGTTCACATTAGAATTTTAAATCTACTTATTGTTCATTTCATCTATTATCCACTGAACGATTGAATGTTGAAGAATTATGAACTTATATAATCAAGTGTATTCGAAATTTAAAATCATAGCGAAAAGTAACAAACTATCCTATTGGCACTCTCTTTTTGAACGAACTAATATCAAACAATGTCTTTTAGATTTTTGCACTAAATTGATTCTTGCATTATAGCTGATAGTATTTTTTAATGAAGAAAACCCTTCACTCTGCATACCTAACTCTAACTAGAAACAATGTAGACACCTTTAAAAATATACTTGATTCTCTAAAAATCTTCAAGGAACAGATAATCTCCGTCCGTCGGGATCAATCAAGGTTGTTGTTTGTAGGAAACGCTAATGAATATCCACTGATGATATGAGATCTGCCTGTCTTTTTTTTGATAACATTGTTTCCTTTCCCATAAACTGTCCATTCACAAAGGCTATTTACTGATTGATTGGCCATCAACTAAACTGAAAGTTCATTGCAGTTGTTTTAAGCTCGTCTCCTATACCATACTCGTATTGACACTTCCTTCTTTTATTGGTAATAATCAAAAGTATTGTGGTCTTATTCTTGTAAATGATAGCTTTTTCTACAAAAACAAGTAGTAGTAGTAGTAGTTTGATTTCGAATTCTCTAAAGAATTCACTCTCTCTCACTAACTACACTTGTATAATCCATCGTGAAACATAGTCCATCGAACATGTTTAAAAGTAATTCACTTTGAAGACAATATTTTCTACAATGAACAAAGTTGTGTACTATTGTGGTGTGAGCTACTTACAAGTAGTATATGACGTGGGTGTCAACGTAATGTCCGGCAACAGAAGATGGGGGAAGATCAAGAAAGGAAGAGTTAGAACACAATGGAATTTGTATGAAACGCGTGAATAGTAGTGACAATGGATTGATGTTTCGCAACAGGAACAGTCCAGTTCGATATGATGAACTGATATTTTGCAAATGAACAATTTACGATATGGTTTTCCAATTTTACTGAGTAACTCTGTAATTTTCGTTAAATACAATTCGGTTGCCCCACCTGTGTTCTCGTTCACTACACTATCTGTCAATTTCCTGTAGTTAACAACGAAAGTAGACCCAAAAATAAAAGTTAAATTTCTAAAAAATTTCTTAATATTTTTATCATTTTGTTGATTGTTTTAAATACTTTTTTTGATAAACTTACAATTTAAATGTCCTCATCTGTGACAGCATGAAAATGTATCGATCGCTTATCTTTTTGTATTGGTTTAGTATATTTTAATGTACTATACCTGATCTTCAAGTGAATTTGATCCACTTTTTTTAGTGCTATGAATTGTGTTTTTTTCTAGATCATTTTAACTATTTGTAGAGTGTACTTGTTTACATACGAAATTATTCGATTGTAAAGTTGATAAAGTTGATAGTGAATAGTTGTCAACTATTTTAATGAATAGTAATTATACAAAACCAGTTAAGTGTCCCTCAGTCAATCAGTCAGTTACAATGTAGAACTTCGTACGTAAGTACATCAGTTCAAGTTGCCATACCACATTAGCACAGAGACGCAACTGTCAGTTCAAATCCAGGAGTGATAGTGATAGTAGAATTATTACTGGTAATGGAAAAGATTAGGGTTCGAAGATATGATTCGGGAAGTATAATTCAGTGAAGTAACTTTAGAAATAGAAAGATATAGGTGATGAGGAATTCCTAAGATTACACTTTCATAGAACACAACGAGTGGATGTACTTGCTCCTTCACAAAGGATTTTGAGCCATGTCGTTCATGGTCTCTAACCATCGGTGGCTTTCGTCTCGCGGACCCCTACCAACATCACAGTCCACTTGTCAGTAACTATGGATTTCTGCCATGTCTTTGTTTGGCCGCCCCTAACTTTCTTCTAATCTACTCCTACACCACAAACCATTGATCGTCGAGGCAGTTGTGGGTTGGGCATTTGTAACACATGTCCCAACCACTTCAAATAATGAAGTTTCATTACTTCATCTATTGATCTGCCATTCTTACCTAGCACACGTTTCCTAATAACAGCGTTGCTCACTCGGTTGTCCCAGGATATACGAGAAATGCTTCGAAGATACTTATGATCGAAAACCAGTAACCTACGAATATCTTCTACTCTCACTGGCCATGTTTCACAGCCATAAAGTAAGACGGAGCGAACTACTGCACAGTAGACTCGTCCTTTGGTTAGTAAACGATATTTCGCCTGTGCTATAGGTGATGCAAGTTGGCAAAAGCCGTGCTGAGATTTCGTCACACACCAACGGTGATGAGACTCCCAAGATAAGTGAAGCGGTCGACACGCTCAAAGTGTAATCAAAATAAATAATGATAGGTTTTTTTTGTGTTGATATGTGTCGGAAGAATAAACCTCGTCGTATTTGTTAATCAACAATATTACCAATATTTATGATATTAGTAGATTTGACAAAGTAGAATCTGAAGTAAATCCGTATTTCTCGCTTGATGCTCTATTTCATATGGATTCAGCAATCAACATCCTCAATAAAAGTGTGAAACAAATCAAGTATAAATTCCAAACTCATTTAACACAAAAATCATAGTGTTTCATAATAAGTGATGCATGTAAAAGACATTTGATTGATTTAAACAAGGATCAATATATTAGGGAAACCTTAGATCAGAGTGATTATAGGTTAGTCGATAAGAAACCTTCTTACTGAAAATCAATCTCAGTTGGAATAAACTTAATGGTAACATCTTAGACTATGCAGTTGAACATCATTTCCCTTAAAACTACATTTACACTTTAGTGGCGAGTGTCAACTAATGCAAAACATATTATCTACAATCTTCTGTCATTTATTTCCAACCGCCTAACATCTCATCACAGAAGTATGTAGGATGTCAAAACCACCACACATGATGAATAGAATGTAATTAATACTAGAGGATTTAAACAAGCCTAACACTGATTACTTACACTACCCAAAGATCAATAAATCGTAGGACACTTTTTCATGGCTAATCCCTTCCCCCACAGTAATTTTTTCTTACAATTAAATCTGCTGTTCCCCATTCAATTATATTTCTCATCAACATTCATTATTACTACTGTTATTACTGCTATTAATTAATTTATTAGGATCTTCCTGGTTTGGAATTACAGGTTTGTTTTGCTTTGTTGTTTTGTTTTGTTTTGTTTTTAAATTCTATCTTATCCATCCATCCATGTGTGTGTGTGTGTGCGATGTATTTATCTAATAATCTAATCTAATCTAATCTATAATATATGATTTAATGTAATAGTTAAATGATGCGAATCCTGATCACACAGATGCGATTACATTTGTAATCATTTTGTTTTGTTTTGTTTGTTTGTTCGTTATCATAATTTGGCCTACTTTATTTTTTTGTTTTCAATCAGTGAGTGAGTGAGTGAATGAATGACTCACTCACTCACTCACTCTTCAATAATGATTATTTAAAAAATAAAACAAAATGTAATTCAAAGTGTAATGTGTTCAATCATTGTTGAACAACTGTGAACGTTGATTTGTTTTGTTTTGTATTTTGTTTTGATGCATGATTTTTAACATTTTTTTTTTAAATCCAATATCTTGATCTATTTTTTTCTCTTCATTGGTCAATTAATTGTTTTTAGTGTAATAAAAAGAAATTTTAATTGCGTTTCAATGCGTTGGTGTCTATTCTATTTTACCAGGTTTGTGTGCGTGTGTATGTGTACTGCATCATTTAGAGTTTTAATGATTAGTAGGGTTTTTTGTTTAAAATGCTTTACTATCCAATGTCTGGAATCATTTCTCAATTGTGTATGTTTTTTTGGGGGGGCAGAATTTTGGAGGTTTGTGTTTTTACACAAAATTTTTACCCCAAAATATCGTAACAGTGCTCACAAGTGACTAGCTTCGTAGGGAAATTCTCGGAGTTCCAGTTGAGAAGACGTGACCAATGGAGTTCAACCCTGTCGGGTGTAGGCAGTAACTACCAAAGACAAATGGGTGAGATCGCGCAAAATCCCTAGATCAATCAGTGTTAGACATTAACACCAGCGGATGCCGGCCAAGTGGTCCGATGGTTAGGCGTCCGCGCACAATACCGAAGGTCCCGGTTTCGAATCCTTCGAGGTGCAGGAGTCGTGGATGAGCACTGCCACTGATGAGTCCCATACCAGGACGAAACGGCCGTCCAGTGCTTTCAGGTTTCTAATGATGGTCTAATTGTGTATGTACAAATTCTACTTCTACTAGGTTTGATAATATTCTTGGCGGTGTTAAATCTTCTTTCCTAAACCGTCATAAGTAATTCATTCAAATTAAGATGGTTTAAATTAACCGGTTGTTCATAAATTTAACTGAGAATTAATCATTCATAGTTGTGATATATATGTTCACCTTGTGAATTCATTTGATGTTAGCTGCTACTGCTAATAGAACATCAGGTGATATCGATTTGATGAAATCTGGCTTACCAAAAGACTGATTGAATTTCAGACATGGTATCTATCAACAGTACGACAATTCTCAAATCAGTTTTTATTGAAGCGCATATACGTTGCACAGGTGAGTGTGTGGATATCAGCGGACAATCGGAAAGTGTGTTGCTGTTTGAAGTGAAAGGTAATGAGCCGGACATCAACTCGCAAGTTCATGTAGCTGATTAGTCCCAAAAGAAATGAAATGCATTCTATCGATCTTATATCATTTTGAGTAATGGTTGAATAAGGATAAATAAGTTTTCGATCATTGTTAGCTAGGCTAAGAATTTTACTGTTGTCGGTTGTTTAATGCTCAACGTACTAAGTTCAAGTCTTAATGCTGAGCGTCAACTCTGAAATACAGGTACATCCAGTTCCCAGGCCCTAAGCTAGTTGGTTCCTGTGTCCTGGATTTCACTGTTAGCCATCATCCATCTTTTCTAGATGGTTTGAATTAATTTTTCTGGTTAGCGTTTTTTTTAACAAGTTAGTTTTTATTGGGATGGGGCCGCCAACCCTCCTCCTTTATCTGGGCTTGGGACCCGCAGTAGCCGCAGAGGTGCTGCAGGCGGAGTTATCATTTCTAAATGGGTTGTGTTTATTTTGACTCAACTTAGGTAAATATTTTCATCCAGACTGCCCACAACATGCAAACAGATGTACATACATCATCAGTAAAAGTGATAAATCGTGACATTTTTTACCATTTAATTTTATCCTTAAGCTAACATATTTTGTAGTCAGTCTATGGTTTGTATAAATGTATAATGTATTTTGCTTATAAAAAATGAAGCTATATAAAAGTACAATGTTATTATTATTCATGCTACAACATGTCTTTAAGTTTGTTTAAAACACTAAATTGCCATATCTATTGTATCATGCAAACTAGTGTTATGTGTAAAATCTTTAATAGACATTCACTTCTTTACTCAGTGTTCGGGCTGTTAGATCCTCAGAACTAACTTGCTTGAGGTCCTAATTTTGGATTTTATGCTTTCGCACATGGGCTGATCAGTTGACCTTGAGATTACATTTCCCACCCGGAAAATCCTTGACTGTCAATGGTTGATGTGTTATTTTAGTATGCTATTTTTGTGGCTCTCCCAAGGACGTTTTCTATGATGTATAAATAAACTCGATTTGTTTGCTTGAGGACCTCGTATTTTCTGGATGTTTGTAGAATACACTTTCTACGCCATATCAAGACCTTTTGATATCTTTAGTGAGGCTTTGAGACGATCGGATTAGAGTAGCCTATCGTGTCACTGGGTCACTTGTTTAGGCTCTCGTTTACCGGCTAAGGTGAACTCGTAATAGTTCAAGCATATCAATTGACATGTTGAATCTGTCAAGCATAACACTCAGTAATTGAGATTCATATAAGAGCTGAAGCATTGAACAAAGCAATGTCTCAAGTAAGAAATTTCCCACAATTAAGTAATCACATTCACTACATAAAAGTTTTCCTTGACATCTCTTTCTACTGATATTGAAATTGTAAATATTTTTCTCAAGAGAAAATCATCACAATGTTGTTTATTTCGATTTTGTAATTATCTAAAGAAACAAACTTTCAATTGCTGTGTTACTACAACTTTTGTGTATTTTCAGAAAAAACAAATTTAATTTTTTTTAAAGTTATCTAAACTTATTCATGAGGTAAATTTTATGTGTTGCTAATTAAACTGTTTAATTCTTTGTTCAGTTTTTATTAATCGTTATTGTTCTCTGTTAATTGAATATTGTGTGTTGAATAATTGTTCGGGACGTTAGATCCTCAGAACTCACGTGCTTGAGGTCCTAATTTTGAATTTTATGCTTTCGTGCATGGGCTGATCAGTTGACCTTGAGGTTAAGCTTCCCACCAGGAAAATCCTGGACTGTCATTGGTTGATATGTTATTTTAGTACTCTGTTTTTGTGACTCACTCAAGGACGTTTTCTATGATGTATAAATAAACTCGATTTGTGTGCTTGTGAACCTCGTATTTTCTGGGTGCTTGTAGAATAAACTTTCTATGTCCTGTCAAGACCTCTTCGTCTACTTAGTGGAGCCTTGTGACGCTCGGATTAGAGTAGCCTATCGTATCAATGGATCATTTGTCTTTGCTCTCGTTTACCGAGTAAGATGAAGTCGTAATAGCATTCAAGCATATCAGTTGACGAGCATAACAATAATTTTTTGTATAAAAGATTCGTGTGACAATAATTATCATCTAATTGAATTCACGAAACGTATAGGTTGATTACGATGCATAAATAAGTCACTGAATTATTCCTCTTCAGTCTTACGGACTGTGAGTTTATGACTCGTACTTTTTTGTTTGGTTGTATCTGTTGAATATTCAATATACATACGTGTTCGGATTGACTGCGTTTGCCCATCAAGTGCATACTTACGTATTTGTCTTTTAGTTACACTGCGAGTGTGATGTGTTAGTGATACTACTCCAGGTCTCTGCACCAAAGTAGGTGGAGCAGAGTTTGGATATGGGATTGAGTGTCTAAAAGTCGAATACCATAACTACTAAGCAACCTTTCATTTTAATTATGCTTAATATATACCAGTTCGGTATCTTTTGAGGTTCGTGTGATTATCAATAACTAATAATGTGAGACTTTAAATGACATGGCACAAAATCAGTTGCAATGGCTACTTCTACTTCTCTGGCATTTGTTTTTATAATTTATTTCGCTTTACTAATGTGATTTAGCAACTTTGGTTATGCTTTATATTACTAACTTTCAATAAGCATTTACTTGTATTGGTACGCAAAATTATCACGCATAATTATTCTGAGGGATACCTGAAACTTCGTTGTTCTTTGCTTGGTTGGTTATTAACTAAGGTAAAAAGCACCGAACTTATTCAAACCCTTCTAAATGTCACGAGTTGATCTCAGTTAAATCACCATTGAAAACCTGGAAACACTATATAGCTTTTTACCTCCTCAACAGCACACACCCACATCTGGGAACCTAACCCAAGATACTCGGCCGTGCGCGCAAATGGTTTACCTCTAGAACACTGAACCGGAATCCACTGCTGTACGTATCTACTCTCCACCGATGCACAACAGTGTGCCACCATTTTCCGTTTTCCGTCGTGGACAGCTGTTGTACACCTAATATGATTGGTCACGGCTTTTCTGTAATTTTTTCTGCCATCTAAAGACTAACCAATGATTGTAAAGTAATTCTTAAGTGCTATTACGTGTTTCGCAAATATTTTCAGCAATCCTTCTGGTGGTTCAAAATCATCAATAATATATCAATTATGCCTTTGTATTTCTACTAACAATCATTTTTTTAAGCTATTTTCGCATTCACGATAATTGAATATTTTTCCATCTTTGATTTTGTTTTATTGGTTTCCGTTCGTTTTTTTCTTACAGAGCAATCATTAATTAATGAGATTATCTCATGATTAGGTTACATTGAGAAACATGATTATAATTATGTCTGTAATTATTGCTATTGACTTATGAGTATTGGGCCTTATTGGGTTAGGCTAGGCCTGACTGTACTAAATAACTAGTTTATATTCCTTCTTACGCCCCACAAAATAGAGATATGGTGTTGTGAATAAATAAGAGGCAGAGAGTATGGTTAAAAGTGTAAAAATATATATACTATACAATAAGACATATGGTCCTATTCAAAAAGAACCAAGAAAGACTTCTCTGAGTTTAAGGAGCTCTTTTCGATTTCATGGAAAATGTTAAAGAATACTACTATGGCACGACGGTTATTGGTTTCTATGCTCTCCAAATTCTGAATTTCACCATCTCTGGGTCCCCAACCATGTAGTTGTAAGTGGCTAACAGTTGTTGCCGTTATAATACAACTCCGTCTCATACCTCCTATCATTTGCCAGCCTTCTTTATCCAATCACATCGTTGGTAGTTAGTACTCAAGGTGTTAGCCTCTGGGCTGACATTCGTACAATATGTCCTAGCCTACGAAACCGATGGTCGTGAATCCTTTCGAATGTTCGTCTCTGTGTGTGAACGTCCATGTAATCATGATCTATTTCAACAGTTTTCAACTTCACTAACCTACGCCTATTATCCTCAATGGAACATAGGCTGCCGATCAATATTCTCCAACCTACTCTATCCTGGGCTTCCCTCTCCAGTTCTGTCCAATTTTTGTTCATTCTTCTCATAGGTTTCTCTATTTCTCGACCTAATATGTTGTGAATATATATTTCTCAAAGTAAAAACTATTTTATCTCAACGTACCTATTCAATATACCTAGTAATGTGTTATTTAATCACTGTTTATGGTAAACTTATTTCTACTTTCTACAATTTTTCATATTTTTTTTATTTTAAATATAGTTTGTTCTAATGAACTCTATGTAGCACGTGTTTATTTTAAGGAGAAAAAAATTGAAACAATTTACAATTTATACTATGTGTAACTGATATTTTTTTTCAAAAAAAAATTCGATTTATATACAACCACAGATAGCTTTATCTAAAAAGAATTGTTACAATTTTGTAATGAAATTTAACTAAAGGCGATACTATCATTATACTTATTTGTTCCAAAGGTGAATATAATTGGTTGTTGTATACTTAACTAGTTAAAATACTGTTCAATTTGTATGTATACTTGAGATTGGTAATTATTCATCGTTTTGTCTTTTTTTGTGCTTTCTGTCGTGTGCATCCACACACACACACAGAGCGCGGACACTTATAAAGGGATCGAACTTAGAATGTTTAAATGAAATGTATGCTCTTTGAACAGTTTAATAATCGATAATATGCTATTCCTTATTAGTAATGAAATATTTTCTTTACATGTAAAGAAAACAAGGCTTTTTACTAATTGTTCTGATTATATAATTCCAGTTACTCAATTTGTAAATCATTTTATACTTTCTATCAAAATACATCTGCTCCTGACTGTGTATATTGTCTATTGAATAAGGATTCAGTATGCCACATAGTATCGATCTTTCAATAAGATATATTTGTTATCATTTATTTATGGGTCATATATATCAGATTGCTTATCACTTCAATTGTTTCAAAGCTCTGTCTTTATTTACAACCCTTTTTTATGAGGACAATTTTTTGATTTTTAAATGTTAAAATATGGGAATCTGTTTCTAATCTTATTGAACTAAATACATTTGCTAATAAAGTGACTTTTACTGTTTATTTACGTAACCAAAACAGTTAAATCGTTACATAAATGAAAAGGTTTGTTTTCATCCTGTGTTCCTAACTATTCGTGTGAAGCAACAGGTTTTTTGTGACGTTCTATTTCATTCGTGTGATGTTTTTAATTCATATGTCTCAGCCTACTAGTAAGTAGTATGAATTATTACTCAAATTTATCCACATATTTTATTGTGTTCGTTTTTATTGCAATCGTTTGTTTCATCTTGTTGATTTCATGATTTGCGCCCTTAATTTATGCCTTTAAATCAAACGAATTTTTTTTATCGTTGAAAAAATTGATTTTGTGATTTGCCAGGCAAAATCTGGAATTTTTTCAGCTGTAATAACTTTATGTCGTATTGTGTATTTCTTCTTATTAATAGAAACGCTTGGCTCAAGAAGCTCGATTGGCTAAAAGACGATTTAAAAATCGTACTAGACAGATAACAGGAGATGGGATGATGGATGAAATTCTTGCAGGTATCCTATCCTATTCAATTTTCTTAGTTTTATGCTGTTTCCAGACCATACCTACCTAGTGCGTTTTAATCATGTTTAATAGGCAGGCTTCTCAGCACAACTAATTTTATGATATAACATATATGTATATATATTAAGTTACATGAAGTATATTCGAAAATTACTGTAAAGAATAAGGTAGAGATAGATTATGAACTAGAAGTTTGGAAGATAATTGCTCACGTGAGTAATTTTTAGAAAGTGTTTAAGAATGTAACAAATAAACAGTTATAAACTCCTAAACTATCAAATCCTAACCTTCTGAATTCCTAATCGCCTTTATCTTTGAAGTTTATTTCACTAAATTCTACTTCTTGAATAATATCCTCAAACCCTAATCTCTCTGATTACTGCTAACTCTTCTACTTCCTCTACTACTATCAGAATTGAGTTGACAATTGCATCTCTTTGCTAATGTGCTATGACAACCTGAACTGATGTATGTACGTATGAAGTTCTACGTTGTAAATGACTGACTGACTAACTGACGGATCCGTAATACTTTTGAGCTGGTTTGCTGAATGAATCTTTTAGATAATATTTTGTGAAACAACACTTATCAGAGTGGACTCGATGTTTGTAAATTAAACGACTTAGTGTATTACTTTCTCTTTTCAGCAGTCGTATAAGGTAATGCTTAAAATTTATTTTTTTTTCAAAAGAATACGCTTTGTGTATTCACTCATAAAAATCTACTGCGCTATAATCTCACAACTGAATATTTTTTTCAATTATAAAAAAATTATCTAACACTGAACTGTAGTGGTAACAAATTGAAAATGTTTCTGCGCATATTATCAAGTGTGTGTTTTGTTTATAGTGTAAACTGACTTGTAAATTGGTTTTTGCAATGTCTTAGGCATTGGATTTATATAATGTGTGTTTTCCTTATGTGAGAGCGATGTTGTGTGCTTATACTTGCTTCATACGACATCTATTAATTCGCCATCCTTACGTAGGATGGATAAGTTATCTCATTGAATTATTATACTTCTCGAATCATATTTTCAAACCCTAATCTTCTCTTTTACCGCTAATAATTTTACTATCTCTACCACTATGGGAGTCGAACTGACAGTTGCGTCTCTGTGCTAATGTGGTTTGGCAACCTGAACTTATGTATGAAGTTCTACGTCGTAACTAATTGATATGACATCTAAATTATGTTATTATGTCTGAAAATCTTATGGTTTTTACTAATATTCATGATATTATCTAACTCTGCATAATATCGATAAAGATTCAGTAAAGTTTATTTAACTGGTAATAATAAATAATGAAAAACTTATTAGTTAGAATTAATTATAGTATATTATCAATGCAGAGTGAATCACTGTCTTTGTTGGTATGCTCTCATTATGAATATTTACGTATAATTTACATAGTAGCCTTACAGTACAAATTTTTGAGGATTTCTGTTATTATTACACGCTCACTCGATTGACTCTAACCTTTGAATAAGTAAATGATTCTTATCTTTCTCTTTTGTTCTATCATATTTGTATTTGATCTTGCCAATTACGTACGTGTAACCTTGACATATGCTTTATACGCATACATTTGTGTATGCTAATACTTACTTGTCTGTATCTTTCATGATTTATAGACTGAGTCATATACTACTCACTGAGTTGACATATTCATCCTCCACTTCTCATCTCTCATCTTAAACTCTGTTGCCTAAGTAGAATATATGAAATCAAATGGAGTACTGATGTTTATGGCTCATTCATTGTTCGTTCATAATGGAGTTCGATCGTGGGTCTAGACTAAAATTGTTATTAAGCTTAGATAACTAACGGTAGCCGACAGAAAGGCCCTAGATCAAGGTTATTATTCCTAGTCGGCACTCTTTACTTAAGTTTAACTATGATCTTCAAAGGAATGATGCTCTCTCTCTGGTGGATTCAATCACATATCACCCAACCTCACAGTCAGAGATATCAACACTGATTTGTTCAGTTGACCACTGATCTTCTGTAGAGATGAGATGCATTTATCAATGACGAATCACTGTGTAAACTCATGAAAATCATCAGTTGTCTACCGATCAATTGTAAATAATTTTTTTCCATAGTAATCTAGAAATAAGCATCAGTATTCATTTTCCAACAACTTTACATTTATTAAATAACGAAAGACTGCAGTACACATCTGGATCACTAACTCAATGATTATTCATTATGTCAGTTTATTTTAGTTTAATAGCTAACTATCTCATTCAGAATCTATGCAGAAAAATCTAATTTCATATCTACTTTTTTATTGTTAAAACGATTAAAATAATCTATTAAAGTATGAAAAAAATAAGAACGTATGTAGTTGTCTCGTAACACCACTATATATTATCTCGTTTAGTAGAGTCAATGTGGTGATCATCCGTCATGATTGTAAATGTTCATCTATTATTTATTCATATTAATCCTATGAATTTTAAGTTGATCCTTGAACATGTTCAATATTCAATTTCATACTAATCAATTGTACCTATTGTAACGCTTGCTTAGATTATTCCCGGCTAATTCCTATTGCTTAGTATTCTCTGACCACACAATATACTGGACAAGTTCCAAAGAATCAAAAACACGGTGGAAAAGGAAAAGATTATATTCCAAATAGCAAGGTTAAATGGAAAATAAGAAGGAGAAGGCAAAATAGATACAACGTTAGTTTCTTTATAGTATTTACATGAGAAGCTTCTGGATACTGAATTAGATTTAGCCAATCATCATGCAGCTACAAACACGAGAATTTTCTACCCTGTTCTCTAAGAATCGATCAGGTTGGATTATGAAATTAGCCAATCAGCGCGCAGCTGACGCAGTCATGCTTCAATTCCATCTATATCCCACTAACAGTACCATTCAATTACTAATAATCTTTGTTTTTTTTCTCATCCATCATAAACACTATTTCTTAGTATATTTTATCCATTTTATAAATAAATCAACACATATAATATGAATGAAAATGATAAATTATTGTTTAAATTTATTTTCATAGGTTTAATATCAGAACCATTACAAGCTGAAGTTCATCCACGTCGTAATCGTTTATCAGAAAATATTAATTGAAAACAAAAACAAAAAAAATAGCAAACTATGCTTTCCAATCCTCTGTTCCACATTATTGCCTTGTTTTGTTTTGTTTTTTTTTTGTACGTTTCATACATCATAATTTTCAATCAACTTCATTCAGTTTGTTTGCTTGATTCATTTTGATTGATTGTTTTTTTTCATGGTTAGTTTGTTGGTTAATTTGTGATAACTAGTCAAAATGAAAATCATCAATGAATTATTTATTTTCTTGTTTACAACATTGACAATTGAATCTGATTTCTCTTGTTATATATATATATATAAATATATATGTGTTCATGTGAAGATTGATGCTTTGGCAAGAGGAAATATAGTCATTTCACTGGTTTACACTGTACTATTATTATTATTATTAATATTTGTGTTTTTCATTTACTTACTCAATTATGATGTTCAAATGTCAATATTTGATATTCATAATCATGTGTGTTGTGTGTTGTGCGTGTGAGTTTTTCTTCTATTGCCTATAAAATAATTTTTTTGTATTCAATATTTAGTTAAATGTTTGTTATTTTATAGATTTATTTCTTTATTTTGCATCTCATCAATTCCTCCTGTTCTCATTTCTTTCCTTCAAAATGTTGTATTCTTGTTATTCACACTTATTCTAGAGTTGGTTGTTATTGTTTCCTCTCTCTCTCTCTCTCTCTCTGTGCCATTTTGTTCTACTTGAACATAACTTATTCATTTCTTTATCACTGAATAGACTGGTTACCTGTCTATTCAGTTTTACATCTAGTCACATTGTTTAAAATGGTTACATACATAATGGCGATAATGTTGAGTTACTTCTCTCTCTCACACACTCACTCACTCACTCACTCATTGCTTTAATTGCCTTGTCGACTTTGTGATTGTGAACAATAAAATGTCAATGAATGTGAATGAATGAACTATGATCTCCCGGTTAATCAAAATCTCTTTTGCATTATGTAATTATTATTATCATTATTATTATTGAAATTAAAACATTTGCGTTTGAATATATATATATATAAATCTTTATAATAATGAAAACTATTCTTTTTATAATCTGTTATTTGAGTAGTATAACTTTCTTTTTTTGCTTTCTTTCTAATTGTGATTGTTGTATTCACATGAGAAGAATGTTCAGTAAGCAAAGCACCTAAGGTTGTGGTGATCTTGCCGATTATTGACCTTCATGGGTTCGCTTCTTTGTTCGTTTTTCTTTTTTTTGAAAAAAAATTTTTTTATACCTTTATTATTTTAATCATAAGATAATCAATGCGTAATTCTATGTTTGTCTTGTCGTGTATGTGCGCTCACATTTATATATACGCTAAGTGGTTGAGCCAAATAGTCTAGTTTTCTTTCAGTCTAATAATAATGGTTATTTTTGAATGAATGCCTTTCTCTTTTGTATCTCTATCTCTCTGTCTCTCCTCTATCGCCGTCTCTCTCTCTCTACTCACTTATAGAGAGTATATATGTTCATTTGGGTTTTTTTTCGTACACAAAATGAATTAATATTCTTCTTCTGCCTGTTTTTTTCTCTTCTTCTCAACAATACTCTATAATACACTGTAGTTTTTGTGTTTGTTGTACCTATCAGGTTTCCTTTTTTTTTTGTTAAGCTGTGTAAGTTTTTTTCCACAATCTCAATCACCTTTCCCTCGATTACTTATCTTCTATTATAGCCCATAAAATGATGTGAAGTGTATTTGCTGTTGTTCAATTTTTTTTTTTGATCCGCTGAAATTATGCAATCGTAATGCAGGAAAGAAAAATTATGATTTATCAAAATTTTTTTTTAAAAAAAATTATTGTAAATTTATTTAGCCTAAAGTTCAATGTTCAATTGTTTCAAACATTTTTTTGGGCTTTTTTACACCAAGGGAAAATAATGTTGTGAGTAGTATTTCTTTTACATATATACTTAACTTTTCATCTATATGTAGAGAGAGATTGAGAGAGAGAGAGAGATCATGTTATTGTTATTGTTGCTGCTGCTGATGATGATGTTGTTATTTGTTCTGGTTTTGTAATATTTCCTCATTATGCTTTTTAAAACATTTGTGTAAAAAATAATCAATTCTACATGATCATTTTTGATTACAATTTATATATACATATATGTATGATATGTTAACAGTTAACGAGTGTTTTGTGTTTTATTTAACTAACTGATTAGAGTTATCGTATTCTTTCTTGATAAGTAAGAACACGAAAAAAAAATTTAGTCTACAATATCTGCTATTCATCATCTTCCTTATGTACCTTACCACCAGTCAGACATTTGTCGAGTTAATTTTAGGTCTATAACTGCTGACATGATTACTGTCATCATGTACGAAAGCATAGATTTTTACTTGTGTTCCAATTCTTTGAAAAATCGTTATTTGACCTCTAGAAAATCATTTAACCACGTTATGTACTTGAACAAACTCATTTGGATCAGATTGCCTGAGTGGACAATACTGTGAGTTGATGCTTATTCGAAGTCGATCAATCAGTCAGCTACAACGTACAACTTCGTACGTATGTGTATCAGCTCGAGTTGCCATACTACATTAGCACAGAGAGATCAAATTGTCGAATCAAATCCCATAGTAATATAGATTGTTGAAGTATTAGCGGTAATGGAGAAGATTAGGGGCTGAAGATATGATTCGAGAGGTTTATCCTAGTTGAATCAATTGAAAATCGAGAAAAAACGTCATCAACAATTTGGAAGAATAGAATTTGAGACAAAGCAAAGAATGGAATGCACTTGCACACATGCAAACGATTCTAAGCCATGTCATTCAAGGTATCTAACCATCGTTTACTATTATCCCGTGGACCTCTATCCAAGTAGTCTACACCTATTAACATGGTTTAGTTCATGGATTTGATTCACGTTTTGATCTGGCCGCCTCTTACTTTCTTCTAGCCTACCGCCTACTGGTCATGTTTCACACCCGTAAAGCAGGACGGAACGAACTACTTTACGGTAAACTCGTCCTCTAATTATCAGACGGATATCTCGCCATTCGAGACTTCCGTATCCGTGCTGAGATTTCGTCAGTCACCAGGCCATCAGCACTGAAAAGACTCAAAATAAGTGAGGCGGTCAACATGCTCAACTACATGACTTGCTACCACTAGTTCAGATACCGATGCAAGCCGATCCTGAAGCAACATTTGCATTTCAAGGATGAGAATCGCATTTCGAACATGCTTGCATTGTGGCCTAAGGTGGTCGGAAGGTTCTTCACTTTGTCAGCGTCTTCATCA